AATAACCATAACCTTCTATTAGGATGGAAAATTAATCGTACTTAATATAGATGATTTCCACAACATACATGAATACCGTCGTAGTGATTCAACATTAACACATAATATCCTTCACTTTATTACCGTATTACTCAAGGCCTTGCCAAATACAGCGTCGATTCCGAATATTGAAGATAGAAGTATTCATAATGAAAGGGGTATTGATGCAAATATAATTATTGAAAATGCATACTTATTTTTTTTTCCTTATTTATGGCACAGTTATACGGTACGAAGATCAACGTTTGTTGATTCGATATCTGTGCCTGAGACATACGAAGAGCGAATTGAACATCTCTTGGTTCACAGTTACGATAACAGAATCGAACAACGCAGAGAAGATCGAAGCATGGATAATACTAAGCTTGTCGAGTTAAAAGTAGAGCCTCTTCATTCTCTAGAAGATTACGTAGAAGCACTCCAAAGTCTAACGAACATAGGTGAAGCAAGAACTTATTTGGAGAATCAAATTTTGGTAGCACCTATAGATTATCCTGGGCAGCTTAATGTACGACGTGCTGTTAACCACAGGATTAAGCTTGGAGATTCTTCTGGTGTACCGCGGCAAGTTCTTCATATTGTACCAATGATTGGGCCTCTACACGTATCCTTAAATAGTCGTGAATCTGTTTTTCTTTTTAATTATGATTTTTTTGACAAACTTTTCCATGATATTTATGGAAGCAGGAAGGTTTTGGCTAAAAAGCCAAAACCTTACAAAATTAATCTTTTATTAGAAATAGCATCTAAAGGCTGGTCGCAAATTCGTTTAACCGTTCTACAGAAATTTGAGCGGTCGAAAGATCCTGAAGCCAGATATCTAATCAATCTTCTGGATAATTTTATTCCACTGGTCCTAGACTTCTATCCCGTTATATTTCGCAGTGGAAATTGGCCGGTTTATCGAGAAACGATATTTCGTATTTGGTGTATTTTTTATCAATACCAGCGAAAAAATTACAACAAGCTTCCGCTAGCCTTTCTGAGCGATGTGTTTTATTGGAGTAGTATTAATCATCCTATTGCTCAGACACTTGCTAATTCTTTCCATGTATTTAACGATTATTATGTAGAAAATTTTCATAGTTCAATTCGACGTCGAGTCCAACCATCCAATACGGCAGATCAAATTATTCGAGAGGCACAGATAATTGATCTAATACGTAACAATAATACTTTTGTGGATAATTTTTCTAATAATTATAACATTATTTATTCAGCGAAGCAATTAGAGTATCTTGAAAAACGAACTGCTGTATTTTTGCTAAATCTTTTTACAAGTGTTTATAACAATGTAGGCCAATCGGTTGCAACGAACTCGAAATATAGATTTCTATCCCTCGGATATAGCATTGATGTCAAGGCATTGCCAATGGGTTGGAACACCATGTATCCTCCACGAAATGATAAATACTGTGATCTGGAGGACTGTACAAGGACGGATGAGGTAGGATTTATACTTAATTGTGGACATGCTTATCATTTCGAATGTTTGTTGTTTAGGTTAGGTAGCCAGTGTAAGTATTGCAAGGATTATCTTATAAGTGGAATAGAGAGAAATTGTAAGGCTTTTGATGAAAGCGTAAACTCGACTGGAACGGCAGCAATAGTCGTAGACGAAGGTAATTCGAACGTTCCTGAAGCAACAAAAACTACTACGAATACCAGTGCAGTTGAAGTTGATAATGTAGTTTTAAATAGTAATATAGATCAGTTATATAGTAATGCTATGAATAATTTTAGAGCCGCGTTGTAATTTAAATAATTAATAAAATTTTATTTAATAAAAAAATTTTTTTCGTTGCCATTGTTATAAAACGTTCACAATTCTATTAATAATAATAATAAAAAAAAAAACAATAATAAATACAATTTAAATTATTACCCCTATGATTAATTTTTGTTTAAATGATTGTGATTGCAATCGCGATCGCAATCACAATCATTTAATCATGAAAAAATTAAGGAGAATTTACATATAAGGGCGTGAAAAATGAAAATAATTAAAAATAAAAGCCCAAAATAAAATAATTACATATAACGGCAAAAAAATATTACAATAAATTTATCATACATTGCAAATTTTTAGCATACAAAATTATATAAATAGTCTTTTGACATTTAAACATATTACTTTAAATCAGTATTACATTTATTCTCTTAGCGGCTTTCATGTAAAAATTATAACCACTTTTGCCGATTTTTAAAAATAATTTAACTTCTCTATGAATAAAAAATGAGCTTCTTCGGTTCTAAATATCTCGCATAATAACCTTCACAAAATATTAAAGAAAGTTCATTAAGCGAAAGGTAAGTATAAATTGTATAAATCAATACATTATAAAGTTAGTTTGGCCCTTAATTGTAAAATTATGCAAACCGCAATAAATTTTATTACTACTTCTCTATTTTAATTACAATATAAAAATTATAATCGATAATTCAAAGTTCTTGATCCTGATTGGATGAATTCCAACGTCACGGTATGAAATGATCTACGAAAATTGGCCAATCAGAACGAA